ATTTTTGATGAAAGACAGCAGAATATTATCAGTAGTACATTATCAGCATTAGGACTCACATAGATAGCAGTATAACAAATTATCATTTGAAATGGCTTTGTCATAAATATATATATAAAATATAGTTTTAAAGTAAGCTATATTAATGGGTAAAAGTGTTCAGTATCAGGGATAGGGGTATGTAAATATAAAAGTGGACACTGAGGTCAACACCAAGTGGCAACAGTCTGTTTCATTCTTGACTGCAATCTTTAGGTCATGAATATTGTGTTCAAGCAGGAAACAGACTGTTGATGCTTGGTCTTGACACTGTATCCACTTTATATATATATATATATATATATATGAGAGAGAGAGAGAGAGAGCTTCTTTAGCTTAATGGTAAAAAAACGAAAAAAACATGCTTGGCCTGAAGGTGGTTTCCCAAGTTAGAAAAGGGATACATGTCTGATTCCTATTGAGAAGCACATTTTCTTCAATAAGAAATAAGACTTTCAATCTCTAGGCTATTAGATATTAATTTCACTTTTCAAAAAAGAAAATCAGTAATGTCAACACAAAAAATGTGTACCCACTAAATACAATGTTTATTGTTGTAAGAAATAATGTCATATTAAAAAATTTCTTAATTACTTATATAGTTATTCATTTCAAGATGAAGTGATTAGATTTGAGAAACATTTTATCAAATCTACATTATATATTTGACATAATAATAATAATATAGTTTTTTTAATCAGTTTCACACCAATGCAAGGCAGTAAAACCACTAATACACAACGGGTTACTGGGTGTGGAATAATTAGGAACAGAAACAATAATCAATGAGAAGAGAAAAGAGTAATCAGGTGGACAGCAGATAGTGATTGACATTGCATTTAAATATTCTCAGTATCTTCATAGAACTCAGCAACATCAGGGTTTGTACAGTTTCAATTCTTCCTTGGATTTCAAATTCATTCCATCTTGATTCTAGTGTCTTTGGAATTGTTTCAAGCATATTTCAATGTTTTGGGAATGTTTCTTATTAATCCTTAATCAAGTATCTTCATCTATATATCTTAATATTTCAGTTTATATATACCTGGAAGTTAGTTATCCTTTTTTGGAATTAGAAATAAATTATTTGAAAAATCTAAAATTTAGTAAAATAGAAAAATAAAAACTTAGCAAGGTTTCTGAAATATTTGCATTTGTGAAGTATTTGATTTGCTTAATAAATACATAAGCTGCATTTTTCTTTTATTTATTGTAACCAATCAGTTTTTAAATTTATAGATAAACACTATTATCCTGAATTTTCCAGCACTTTTTCATCTGAAATTTTGAAGCAAGGTGCCATTATTACTACGCATCCTTTTGGATTTGTATCCTCTTCATAGTTGCTTTCATGACCATTGTCATACCTGATAAACTTTAGTGAATGTTGAACAGGAAGGGGAGGATCTTACTCTTGTCTCTTGGATAAACAGGCAGTATCAAATAAGAGAGAGGATCTTCCAATTTCTAAAAATTTAATAAGTGGGGGTGAGTCAAAGTAAAAGGGGTTTATTTTTTTTTTTTAGAAACATAGTTGGCTACTAAGAAGTAATTAAAATATATTTATAAGTGCATATGAAATTGGGTGGAGATGTATTGAGATTTTTACAGTAAGAGAATATAGTACTAACACATCATCAAAACTGATAAGCATTCATCTTTCCTAACATACAATTTTTTCTAACATTCCTAAATTTCAAAATTTTATTAAGTGCACCCCCTCCATTTATTCAAGGGGCAAGAGTATTGTTGTATTAGACTTCAAAATTGTTACCTTTTGTGTTTGGCACACTACTTTCTCTTCTGAGCCAATCTACTCCTTCACTGCTAGACTTTTAGGAAACAAAACTGACACTTTCTTTACCATTAGTTCATTCTCCATAGGATACTGAGGCAATATTATTTTGGAGTCTTAAACCTAAAATCTTTTCTTGTCAAAATAGAGGCTCCTATATAATGTTTATATTTCCACTAGACTTACTAATGGGATTTTTTTTCTTTTTTTTTTTTTTGAGCAAAAATATATTTCATTTATGACTTTCTGTTCTTATCCGTACTTGACTTTTTTACATTTATAATTTTAGTGGAAATGGCATAAAATTAACAAAGTAACACACAATTGTTATTAACTAAATACCAATTCCATAATTCTTTAAAATTTGATCTTGGACCTTATTTCTATTGAATGGTATTTTTTTTTCATTGCAGTAGAATTGTTAATTTGTTTTTACCAAAGAGTCATTGTGTTTAGCTTTTTTTAATCCTTTCACCTCAAGCAAGGCAATAAAGCCATTAAGACACAAGGAGGTTACTGAGTGTTAAAGAATATGAGAAAAAAAAAACACTATTAAAGAGAGAGAACAAGAAAAGAACAAAAATTAAGAAGACAAAAGATAAGGTTTGACAGTGCATTTAAATTTTTGTGGATCAAAGTTGACTGGGAAGCAAGAAGCTGCAAGAGAGTTCCACAAGCAGATTATAAGACTATTAAAAACATGTATATAGATATAAAAAAGTGTATTAATGAATAGATTCTTAAGAAGAATCAATTGTAAGATATGAAATATATGTATTTACATTGTTGTTTATCACAAACAGTTGCAGAAATTAATAAATATCTCAGTTGATGTAGTACTCTCCGATTAGAGTTGTTTATAGAGAAAGAATGATATTCGAGGAATAAATTATTATTTGTACATTATTCATGTCAAATGTTATTGCCATAACTGATTGTTTACAGGCATTGGTAGAGTATATTTCTATGATGATTTTATTCTCATAGTTCATAATTTTGTTTATTCTCTTTATTTATAAAAGTGTCATTTTAATGTTTATGTATTTCTAGTCTTTAAGGCAATGAGCAATATCTTATCTTTGGTAACATTAAACTTATTTAACTTTTTACTACCATAATGGCAGTATTTATGAAATAAAATGTCTAATGGTTCTTTCATCCATCAACAAAGATTGTGTTCCTTTCTCCCAAATTCTGTTGTATATTTATTTACATGTCAGTGTGAATCTAATTACATTGGATGCACCTTTCAAAGATTGGAATGCAGCATCAAGCAACATCTCCCACATTGGATCATAAATGGCTTACCATGTTAAGCAACAATGTTGATGCAATTACAGAGTGTTTCAGATTCAGTAATTGGCTAACATTATTGATAATTTTCTTTGTGCCAACACTTTCTCCTTCAACAGATGTAATATTCTGACTGTGCTATGTTTTGGCATTTCACTTAAGGATTTGGGAATCACTTTTTAATTTCAAGACATCAACCATCTCTGTGCAAAAGGACTTTCTTTACTCCTTGAAGTTACCCAGCGTAACCTAAGTTGGCCTACTGTCTGTCTCTCACATTTTTCTTTTTCTATGAGATGACAGAATCTACTTTCAAAACATTTAACATTTTTTATTTGTTGAGTTTTGATTGAAAAGCTGGCCACTTAAGAAGGATTATATCACCTGTTTCATTTGTCAGTTAATTTCAACATATCTTTACAAGCTATATTTAGGTTTTGTATTCAGAATAAGAAATAGAGAGCTGAATTCGAATTTCAATTGGGTTCATTACATTCATTTACTTACCCTTGGGAAAGGTATGAATCTATCTCTTCTCCCCCTAGCTATCGGTTGCATATCAAGACAGACTGGCTCCTATAGCCTTGGGTGGCAACCAGTCTATCACAAAAAGAAATGGCAATCTACTGTGGGAAAATCTTCTGCGAACTGTTATGAACTGGCAACATACGGATGTGAACACCAAAAAAAAAAAGAAAAAGAAAAGATGGGATCACTCAGATAGAAATGCATAACACAGGTGTCAATGATCAACAAACACAGGATGAAAGTTTAAAAACGGTTTTATATAACAAAAAATTGTATAGGGAGAGAATGTAAGATAGCAGATATAAGATGAACAAGAGGCACTTATCTGATACTGGATATCACTCTGATTATTTATGAATCATGAGTTTGTGAGTTGAAATGTTTGTAACAATAAACAGATAGAAGGTCATTAGAATTTCCAAATGAAAATTGGTAGTTATTCCTTCTGCAATATCAACTGGAAGATTTTGGAATGATATTTCTATTTCATTCCACATCGAGTAATCAAAATAAATCCAAGATAAAACTGGGAAGATTTCTCCAGGAATAATATTTTCTTATTTGGTACACACCTAATAACTGAATAAGTCCATAGGTGTATTTCTAATGAAGACATGATGGGAGTCATTTTATTTGTGACTTGATATAGTGGGAGATTTTCGAGAAACAGAAAATATTTTTAAAAAATCACACTTGGTGGTGATTGGCTTTTACTTATTTCATTAGGAGGTCAAACTGTCTAGTTGTTAAGCAACCCAGATTTTATCCCGCCATCTCTCAATCTATACAGGATTTAGTCTAGACAGGAAATAAAGGAAGAGAAGAAGGAAGACAGAAAGAGGAAACACAAAGAAAGCATATCCCTTGATAGATTGATAATACAGCTGATTTTAATTAAAATATTGAGGGCCATGTCATGCTATTCAGTGATGAATCAAAAGAGACATGATTGTCCAAGAGTGTATCACATATGACACTTAACTGACTGATTGTAATGTTTTTTTTCTCATCAATTCTTAATCCAGAGATTTTCAAAAGTAATGGAACATTAAATATTGCAGTATATTTATACTTACCTAATACTGTAGTATTCTTGAATTAGGAAAATCATTAAAACATTAAAAGAAAAGTATCCATTATGAAAGCTCAAAATAATACTGAGGGGGAGATAAATCACTGCTGTTTTAATATCTCTGACAATGTCATTTTTGTTTTCCTTTTGGATAGTATTATATAAACAACATATATGTTGTTTGCATGCATTTCAGTTTGTAAAATCATTGTTTATTATATGAATATATTAATGAAATAACTCCTAATACTTTTTCAATTTTTTATTTTACAGGTTTACAATGAAATAGCTGACCACTTTAGTAGTACCAGGCATTCTCCGTGGCCAAAAGTCACTGAATTTCTTTGTTCCCTCCCAAAAAGTTCTCTTGTTGCAGATATTGGATGTGGCAATGGTAAATATTTTGGCCTGAATCCTTCCATTTTCCAGGTAAGGAATTGAATTTCCATAGCCATTTGAATTCAGTTGTTGCTCTATAAAATGATTTCTGGTTTGAGTTTTTCATCTATGACTCAAATTATTATTAATATTGACACAAAAGATACAGATTTTGAAAAGAAAATCAAGAAAAGTAAAGTGGATGCATGACAAATTCTTATGAATTTTTGATGAAGTGATATTCCAAAATTATTTTTTCTTAAAAGTTGATTCTTACTTTGCATATCTGTGTACTTGAAACATTCTATCACTTCAGGAAGTACTTGACTTTTTCATCCTGGGTATGATGATAAACTACATCTGGCAGCAAGGTCTGTGATTAGGAGGTTGGAGGTTTTTGAACATGCTCTTAATTGCTTTTGTCCTCAGGTCCACCCTGACCTGGGGTGGTAGCACCTGTTAGGGTCTCAGCTATGGGCAAACAGTGAACCCTCAAACAAAAATCAACAATACATTTTTGTAATAAAATGACCAACAATACATTTTTGTAATAAAATGACCAACAATACATTTTGTTAGTAAAATTATTAACAATACTTTTTATGATCTACAAACTATATATCTAAAAAAAACATACCTTTACTTTGAAAGCATAAAGTTATGCACAAAATATTTAGATTATGGTATTAAATAACCTATAGATGTTGATATGCTGCTAAACAAAATCAACTAACCAACAATATATATTTATAGTAAAATGACTAACAATATATTTTATTTGTAGTTGAAGACATACAGCTATGAAAGTGTGTTCAAAATATATTTAGTTGAAGCCATAAAATTGTGTTCAAAATATGAAGATTTTGGCATTAAATATGCCACTAAATGAAATCAACCAACCATCCAATCAGTTTGACTCCTTCTTCCATGTTTTATCTTTACAAGAATCAGATTGAACCAAAAATGGAATATTGCTGCCATATCTGCATTGGAGCAGCTCTATTGTCACTTTCTAGGCTTGATAGAATTCAAAATCAATTACACAGTCTTGTGAGGCAACACTTATTCTTACAATACAGCCGCTGGAACTCTATTGATATTTCTATAGCAAATATTTAGGAGAGCTCTATTTTTTAGTTCAATCAGTTCAAATATTTACAGTTAAGACACACCATACCACTTCCATGGAGTCGAATCACCCTCATTTCTATCATATTCCAAATATAAGAAAAAAGCTCCATTCAAAGAGGTTTTTTCTCAAGAACTACCACTTTGTGGAACAGACTATCGGGAGGTGAGGTGTCAATAACATATTGTCATGTTGGTTATATCACCCGATAATGGGTGAGCTATCGAAGAAATAAATATTCTCCCTGTTTGTATTTTCCCCATTATTGGCATTATTATATCCATAATATAATAGCACCTTATATCACATATGAAATGGAATAGCTGAAAGAAAAGTAATGACAATTATGCTTTGTTCTCAAAGGGAGCTTTACACTGCTAAGTCGTACACAAAATTATATACACTTATTTACATTTTTCCCACACATAGAATCTATAACACATGTCTACACAAGTATGAAAAGAGAGCAAAAAATAGGGTCTTACTTGTAATAATTCCCAAGAAGCTGGAATATTTTTCTGTGTTTCTGGAGAAGTCATATTTAGGATTTCAGATTTTGAGCAGGCCGTATTTATTTGCTATATCACTAGGGATAACATATTCCACTAACAGGAAAATGGTGAGTCATGGGTTTTCCCAAATTGAGGACTGTGAGCTGGTGATAGTTTCTATATCTGGTGAAGATATATTTCCATAGTAAAATGGGGCCATGGGCTTGTAATCTGCATCACATGGCAGATGGCGAGGGTAGCAGATTTAGCCTCAGCCCAGGCTGCAGGGACCAGGTGAAAAATGTAACTGCACGGTTTGTCTCCTAGAAGTTGACTGGTGGCCTGGCCACATCCATCACTCTATGAAGTGACATAAGTGTCCGTCACATGACACATATGACTTTAAATCGCCCAAAGGGAGATAATCACTTTTGTATCATGACACATGCATGGGTGCTTCCCTGAATACTATATTCTTAACCTCTTCAAGACAAGGGTCAGTTGTTATCTATCCTCTTCTTCCTCATAATCTTTCCTTCTTATCACCTCTTTCATTCATATCAAACATCTCATTCATCATTACCATTTCAACTGTAACCCTCTACTTTGATTGGCTTTTGGGCATTGTATTGGGAGAATTCTAGTAAAAGAAGAAAGAGTATTTCATTTTTAAAATACTCAAATATAGGTATCAACTAAAAATAATATTTGAAGTAATATATAGATAAATACACACACACACACACACACACACACACACACACACATATATATATATATACCTACACACACAAAGAAGTAAAGGCAATACTAAAAGTAATATTGATTACTGACAGTTTTCTGTTGAAATTCAACTTGAATGAATAAACTGAAATATATCTTACCTTCAGTAATTAATTTAATCTGATTTAATTCTAATCATGTTCATATATATATATATATATATATATATATATATATATATAGTGTTTATAAAGTGTTTGAAATTGAGATCAAAAGGAGATAAATTGGTAGGGTCAATCTTTCTTTCTCTATTCTGTTTAATTAATGCATGCCAACCTTTCTTGGGAACATTAGGCTGTGTTTTGGGATGGAGCAAAAACCAATGTTACTAATGTGCTGTATGAATTAACTCGGTTGGTGCCATTATGGTTAGTTTGCTTTGCAGAAAAACAGTTTGGATAAAAACCAGTTGTAATAACAATAATATCAAAGTTTTGTAAATACAGCATTTTATTAATCTAAAAAAATGGTGGTTGGTGGGTGAGGGGCTGAGATAGTTATATCAGCAGACCGTATCATTCTGGTTAAAAGAACAGATGCAACAAATTTTAGATGACTGTTAGCAACAGGCAGAGTATTATCATCAGCTTTACCATCCCTTATTTGTTATATTTTTTTGTTATTATCTTTTGTCGTCATTTTTTCATCATCATCATTGCCACCCATGTCCTTTATTGTTTGATTTCATTTTTTTTTGTTTGCTTTGATATTGGCTTGTTTATTATTGTTGTCATTTCTTCATTATTATTTCTGTCTCATAATCGTTTCATTGTTAGCTTGCTTATTTTATAAAAATATTCATGATAATAAGTATTATTTTCATCACCACCACCACCACCAATGCTTCTGCTGCTACCGCCTCCACCTTCTACTGTTAACATTATCATTATTAATGTTCCAGGACTTTTTTTTTTAATTATTAAGAAAATGAAAACAAACAATTTTTTTCCTGTCTTTGTTTTCTTAGTCATAAAGAAGAATGTTATTCTGGCTCAGGGTGGGAAACTGAGAAATTCTTTAGCTTGGCACACTTACATGCGCACCCACACTTGCAAGTGATTAATTAGATAATGTACTTTTATCTTAAGATATGTGCTGACAGTAGACAAAGACGTAGAGTTATTGTAAAAACAAAAACAAGTAAAAAAAAAAAAAGAATCCTGGTTCTTATTTTTGATTCATTGCTAAAAGAGAAATTATGAAATGACAAGTATAATTGGCTGTCAGTCATTAGCATAAATAGCTCAAATGATAGTGCATTAGAATGAAGATCTAAAGGTCCTCAGTTCAATCATGGATTTCAGCATCAATCTTATAGTAGATAATGGAAACTGTTTTTTTTAGGATGAAGGTAGTTCATTAATCTCAAAGTGCTTATTGTGTTGATTGAATTTGTTTCAAGCAAGCAAATAATCAAGAAATAAACTTTATTACATAACTTGTTTATCATTTTTACAATTGAATTGGCTATATTTAACCATAAGTTCTTTGTGAAAAATTTCTTTTCTTACACTTCTTGCCTGTTGAACACTTCTGGTTTCTTCCTTTCTTCCAGCCAGCTTCAATTTTCAAAAATTTAAATACAATGTCAATCACTATCTAATGTCTTCTTGATTCCTCTTCTTTTATTGTTCTGAAACCTTAATAATCTTTTTCTTTTTCTTTCATGTTTAGTAAACCCTTGTGTCTTAGTAGTTTTATTGTCTTGCTTGGTGTGAAATGATTAAAAAAAAAGTATGTTGTTAAGACATGACTGCAAATTTAAGCAATTTTGCAATTGCATTAGTTATAGTTTCTACTTGACTAATCTCAGATTTTCATCAGTATAATTAGCTCTATTGTTTCATATAAGGAAGAATTCTGTTTTTTAAAACATTAAAATATTCAACGAGAGATTATTTCTTACCCACTTTTAAATCTATTTCATAAATGTGTCAGACTTGATTTTATTTTAAGCATGTTCCTATCTATCTATCTATCTATCTATCTATCTATCTATACATGTATATATATCAGGTCATCCCATAAGTTGTGTCCAAATTTTGAATAAAGAAAACAAGTGACCAAATGTTACATTTAATTACAGATTCAATCAAAAATGTATTTTCCCTGATTATCTATGACTTCCTTCCATCTATTAACAAGCTTACTAATTCCATTACTGTAAAATTCTTTTGGCTTTGATTCAAAGAACTCACAAATGTCAGTTTCACCCTCTTCCTGTGTTACAAAAGCTGTTTCTTCCAAATGATTCTGTAAGCTATAAAACAAATGGTAGTCTGAAGGAGCAAGATCGGGGGAATAAGGTGGATGAGGAATTTTTCTTCTATCTTTTGTGACGTGATTCTTGCTGTGTGGGGTCGTGCATTGTCCTGATGAAACATCACCTCTTTTCGATTCACTAGAGCAGGTCTTTTTTTCCTCAAAGCCTGGTTCAAATGCTCTAATTGCTGACAGTATATTTGAGCATTAATTGTTGCATTAAGTGGTAAGAATTCAAAGTGGATTATTCTTTGGCGATCCCACCAGATTGAAAGAAGAACCTTTTGCCCATGAAGTTCCCCTCTCGGCTGTGGCTGGGGTCCTTCCCCTTTACCAAGCCTCTGTCTATGATGCTTAACATTTCAATAAAAGATCCATTTTTCGTCGCCAGTCACAAGTCTATCCAAAAAAGGTGAAACAATTTGGTGAGAATGGAGAGAAGAGCAGATGTCAACTCGGGATTTGAGGTTGTTTTCAGACAATTCATGAGGCACCCATTTTCCAAGTTTAGGAACTTTTCCAAATTGTTGAAGATGACGATGAACAGTTGTATAGTTTGAACTGAGAACCACTGCCAATTCCTCAACTGATAAAGCAGGATTTTCTTCAAGGGCTGCTTCAAGAAGCTTTTCATCAAACTCAACTGGACGTCTGGTTTGATCTTCATCTTCAAGGGGGAAATCTGCACCTCTGAATTTTGCAAACCATCTTCTGCAAGTTCTTTCATTCACACATTCCTCTCCATAAACTGAGTGAATGTTTCTAGCCGCTTCGGCTGCTGAGTTTCATTTCTTGAATTTATAAAGCATTATGTGCCTCAAATGATTCTTGGGTACTTCCATGTTAGCAGGGTTTTAATCAAACAAAATTTAATTCTATTGTTCTCTGAAATAAAATTTGATCAGTTTAAATGCATCTAAACATGAAAATAATGTTCAGCTCCATTAGACATTATAAAATACTCTTTAAATTTCGTTCATTTTAACAAAAAGTTAAAATTTGGACAGATCTTATGGGATGACCTGATATATGTTTATATATATATATATATATATATATATATATATATATATATATTATTCTTCATATTTTTTCTACATGTGTTTCCGGTCTCATGACCTTCTTCAACCAAATTAAAGGAATCAATTTTCTTTATTTTCTTATAATATTTCATTGTTCATTATGACCAAAAAATCATTTGTGGTTCCTATCTGTTTTAAAATATACATTTGTCTCTCATTGAAACAATTATAACATTTTCCCTATATATATATATATATATATATATATATATATATATATATATATGTGTGTGTGTGTGTATGTATATGTGTGTGTGTGTGTGTGTCTGTATATATATGTGTATATATATATATTTATGTGTATATATATGTATATATGTGTATATATTTATAGATGTATATATATGTATATATATATATATATATATGTATGTGTATATATATATATATATATGTATGTATGTATGTATGTGTATGTGTGCATGTCTGTGTGCGTATATTATCCTTGATCTTAAGGACCTCAAATCTGTTGTTGGCTGTGTGTAGTTGGCTTGTAAACTTTAATGCCTCCAAAACAAAACTCTTCTTTACCCACTACAGAGAACCCTCTCTACCTCCCATCGGAATGGCTGATGCCCAACTCCACGAGAGCACCTTGTTACGCCTGCTTGGTCACATGCTCTCCACTGGCATGAGGTGGAATATGTGCATTGAATCAACAGCTTCATCTACTGCAAGGAAAGTTGGTCCTCTATGTTAAGTCAGAAAGTTTTCTCATCTGAGTCCATCCTTTAAATCTATAAATCAACCATCCATCCTTGCATGAAATATTGCTGTCATATATGGACTAGTGCCCCAGCTGTGTCTCGAGGTTCTTGACAAAATCAAGAGACAAATATGAAATGTGATAAGTCCTGATTTGGCATCTCGTCTTTCCTACAGATGTGCCATGGCGTCCCTCTGTCTCTTCTACAAGTATTTTCACGGCAATTGTTCCGGTGAGCTATTTTTGCTGGTTCCCAGACTGCATGAATTTAAGCAAGATATTAGGCTGTCACCTTTCACTGTCAAAATGGTTAAATGTAACCATCTTTTCTACTCAAAAGAGCTTCTTCTGTGGAACTTCCTTCATATTACTTACATTCACAATGACTATATTCTTCAAACATTCAAGTGTAATGTCAATTGATTTGGCATTAGTCCAAGACTCTACCTCTAAGCTATTGATGTCTGGCAGGGAACACACAAACACACACACACACACACACACACACACACACACACACACATATATATATATATATATATATATATATATATATATATATATATATATATATATATGTATATATATATATATATATATATGTATATATATATATATATATATATATATATATATATATATATATATATATACATACACATGTATAAGATGTATATATGTGGATATGTTTATATATACAACTTAGCTACAATAAATACATAAGCACCAAAATATTGCTTGATCTTTGATGCGTAGTCTGAAATTTAAAAAAAAAAATTATCACCATATTTTTAATTATTTCACCCCAAACAATCCCAAAAGATGCATGGAGGTTACTGAGTGTGAGAGACTATGAGAAAAAGAAAACATTAAGGAGAGAGAACAATAAAAGGACAGGAATTAAGAAAACAGAAGAAAATAATTGACATTGTATTTAGATTTTTGAAGTTTATTGGAAAGCAAGAATCCGGAATAGATTTCCACTGGAAACTTTATTCCGGTGTGAGAGAGTGTGAGATAGGAAACTGTTAGCATAGAACTTATGGTCACATCTAACCATTTCAATTGTAAAATGATGAAACCTTGCTGCCAGTCCTGTGCTTAAATTCCTAAACTCTCATCATTAGGAACTCTATCACATTCAGTTTAGTAACATCAGCAATCAATCGCAAAAATAGTTCTGAACTGTTATGTAATAAGTCCTCTTATATGAATGCTGGACAATTTCCTCACAGATGAAGAAGACACTTTAAGCAACAGAAATGTGGTTTTATGGAATGATGCTGAAAATACCATGGACCAAACATGTGAGCAATGACAAAGTTTTGTTGAAACTGGAAACAAAAAGGACACGTATATTTAATGTTAGAAATCAGTAGTTGAAATTTGGGGGGGGGGGCATTTAATGAGGAATGAGGTCTTTGAAAATTTGATACTAACAGGACATATTGCAAGCAAGAGTGATAGTGGAAAACAATGCACAACCTACCTAGTGAGCTTGAGTAAATGGATGATGGAACAAGGTTTAGGAGAGATAACAAAAAGATAAAATTTATTAAGAGTTACAAAGGACAGAAAATTGTGGAGAGCCATCATTGCCAATGTACTGAAGCAACATAAGCACATAGAATGAAGAAGATTTTGCTTCTAAGTAAATCGTCCTAACAATATTAATGAAAATTAAACAACTTTTTTCCCCTTTGATCAGTGATTCTTCCAGGTGTTAAAATATAAAATGAAAAAATTTGTAGCCAATCAAATATCAGGATAGTTTTTCACAGCAAACTTATACAATCTCCTTAACAAAGGTTAAATGTTACCTAAATTTGTCTATAATATGCATACAGTCATGTTAGGGAACCTAATCATATAAATAAACTGGCTCTGGAAAATTAGACTTGAATATTCAAAAGCCATAATCTGAGATGATATTGTGAAGTGGGGTTAAAATAAGAGATAAGGAATCTTGTCAGAAAATGGAATGTACAGAGAACTGTGTATGTAAATATGACAAAAGGCAGCATTAACAAAGCCAGTGTATGTTGTTGTTTATTCAGTAAACCATTTTAAAGACTGTCTACAGAGGAAAAAAAAAATTAGCATGTATTGATCACAATTCATGTAGCCCAATTTTTTTTCGAGACTAACTTGTAAATCTCCATTGTCTGCAGATAATTCTGACATTCAGACTGAGAATTGTCAATAATATGAATTACCACAAGTAGTGAATTAAATATTTGAGCAAGGCAGGAGAATGCATTGACTAAAATGCGGTGATAAAAACCAACAAGAATTAAGAGTATTAGTCCAGACAAATGGAAAAATAGCAAACTTTTCATTTCATTCTGTCTATGATTCATATCCAAATACTCTGCCTAGTATGAATTAACAGTTTTTTTTTTAAATCTCTTGAAATCTTTTAATATTTTTCTTTCTAAATCAAAGTTAACTGATTCAAGTTATGAACATAAAAAACACATTTTTATAATCATTAAATGACTTATTCATTCCAAAAATAAACATGTATGAAACTGTTTTTTATGCAATGTTCTTATCATTTTGTGTTCTCCCTTGGTTGGGATTCAGCTACAAGAATGGAACCCTCCCTTCTTTGACTGTCAGTAGTTTATTTTTTATTTAACCCACATGAATAAGGCTTGAGGCCTTTGGCTTTTCTTTTAGTGGCCTTGTCTAACACTCTGCACAAGATGATGCTACACAAAGCTGGATCTTCTGATCTTACTAACATTTTAAACAAATTTTATTTATTATTAAAATTCTGCCCCCTTGTGAATGGCAAGTTTGTGATCTGGCTACTGTATATGAATTATTTGTTCATTTAATTTTTTTTTATAGATTGGCTCTGACCGGAGTGAAAATTTAGTCCAGATTTGCAGGGAGAGGAACTTCCAGGCTTTTGTTGGTGATATTCTGGCCATTCCTCTTCGGCCCAACACCTTTGATGCTTCTATTTGTATTGCGGTCATTCATCATCTCTCCACAAAGGTAAGTTCCTATCAATATAAGTTTGTGAAATGGCTGGAAACGATGCCTCTTCTTTTTCTATGGTATACTGTCATCACTGTTTATTACTTAAGAACCTATATATTTGTAAGCCTATGAAACACCTGACACTAAAGCTGTCCCAACCTTTTGTGGTTAGTTTTCTATTCATGATATTGTTGTATTAAATACTGTGTAATATTTTAAAACATTTTTTTCATGTTATTTTATAGGTTAGAAAATACAGTAATCAGTTTTTGATGCCTTTAATACTTGTGTGTTATAAGACTTACAGTCATGTTGAAACACTGGTTGCTGTATGATCACTGAAGTTAAGCTATATTGAGCCTAGTCAGTACCTAGATAGGTGACCACTTGGAAATACCAGGTGCTGTAAGCTTGGATGTGTGGGTGATGTAATGGATAATGGTTCAGAATTTTTAATCGGCAAGCCAAGTTCTAATTCCTGTTGGGTTCGTTATATTCATTTATGTATAAATACCCTTGGGAAAGGGTATGAATCCACTTCTTCTCCCCCAGCTATGACTTAATTAGTAGAACTTGTATTACTAAACCATTAGTATATCAAAAAAAAAATTCTTACAAATCTAAAAATATTTTTTAGCTTTAAATAACCTGCAAAATGTTAGTAAGCCATAGAAAACGAATCAATCAAACAATCAAGTGTTATAAGGTAAAATTTAATGGATTATGTCAGGATTTTTTATGTGACCTAATCTGTAAAATATTGCTCGTGTGATTGGTGAGTTGGATTGGATTAAGCTTTGGTTTGCTTGTCAGATTTTAACTTCAGTTTTTTTTTTAAAAGACATATAACCAATTTGTATTCTAGCCAAAAGAAACAAGCTAGTAAAACTGTGTATGGATTTTAATAAGGCTGGAACACAAATACTAAGAATCAAAATTGTTTGCCTTATCATATTTGTAGCTTTAGACACCATGGATTTTACAAGGCCATGAATGAACTGGTAAAAGAACACTTGATGTTTTGAAAGATTTTATAAACTCTAGATTCAGATTTATAGAGTAGAACTCAAACCAGCACTGTAACTAGTTAAAAAAGGTCAATATCTTTAAGTAAGTTCTTTTTCTATTGTTACATATTTTGCACATCTCTCTCAAATGTAGATATGAAAGTATTTCTATTTGTAAATGTAAGATGATAAATATGATCAAATCAACATTTTTTATGCTCAGCACTCTGTAGATTTACTTGTACAGGTTTAGATCACACATCAATAGACTGAACAAAATCTCAATTTGGTTGGTTAATTTCTTGACTGTTTGGCCCTGACATTCTTTGGTGGATGTCATTTGAGCACCATATTTGCCTGGGCTGTCAAGATCTGACATTCCCCAACTGGTGCATACCATTAGGGTGCCATGGTGGTCTGAATTGCGAGCATCTGACATTCCCTGATTGGTGGATGCTGTTGGGTGCCATGCTGGTCTGGATTGACAGGAGCTGACATCTTGTTCTTTGTGAGATTATGAATTAGACTAGAGAATCACAAGAAATTTGGTTGGCTGGTTCATGCTGCAACTTTGAGGACATTGCTGAGGTGTTATGATTAACTGAACTGTTTGGGGTTTTTTTTTTTTTGTAGCATTTCAGTAGACAATTTTTCACACCAGAATCTATCTTATACATTTATAAGCCTACCATTTGTCCATGCATTGAATATTTCTGTTGATTCTGTTATATATTTAGAAATTCATGATAAAATACAAAGAAGAATCTGTAATGGTATTGGTCCTGACCTGGAATCTCATCTTCAGTAACATTCCCACCACCATAATGGTATCTTTTCTATAAATATTTTCATGACAGTTGTCTCTATGGTACCTAGATTTTACAAATTTAAATGCAGTACAAGATTGGCAGCTATATATCATCATTTTACAGTTGAATAAGTTCTATGCTAACAGTTTCTTCTCTCAATTTTGATCTTCAAAAATTTAAATGCAATATAAATCATTATCTTCTGTCTTTAATTCCTGTTATCTCTTTTTAATAATGTTTTATTCACATATTCTCTCTCATTCAGTAACCCCCTTGCATCTTAGTGGCTTTATTACCCTGTGTGAAATGATTTAAAAAAATGCATGGTAATTTGGCAGTGTTCATCTTCTAAGATGGCAAACAGTTACATTGCAGGAAGAATTCCAAACCTGACAAAAATTAAACAGTGTGTAATTCTTCATAATGAACCAAACTGTCTTCAGTAATCAATCATATCTTCTTTATCTGAATTGATCTTCAGTATTGATCACTGATGGTTTACTGAATGCTTTTGTACTTAGAGGCCAAAACCAAATAGTGGACATTATTTGTATTTAGTTTAAGATCTCAATTGATAGGAAATAGAAGGAAGATTATGTTATGCTAGCCAATCTTTCAAGTTAGTAGTACATTCTTGTCTTAAAAAAAAAGATCACTATTCAAGGTCTTGACTCTAAAGTGTCTTGAAATACTGATCACTAGCACTAGTAGGAAATTTGTAATTAAGACATAAGGCAACCTCCAAAGTGGTGGATATTAGAAATATTTTGAAATTTCTGGGAAACATAATGAGGAAAAAAGGCCTGGAGAAATTAATACTCAGAGAACATACTGGAGTTAGTAAAATCAGAGAGAAACAACAAGTAATCTACTTAACAAATTTCAGTGAATGCATAGTAAAAGGATACAGAGGAATAGTAAAGAAGCAAAAGTTATTTAAAACAATGAAAGACAGAAAGCTGTGAAGAGCTATGATCACCCACATCCTGAAAGAAGAATGATGGGACTTCTAAGGTGATACAAAACTACAATAATGTTGCTTTTATTTTACTTTAAAAAAAATTTATTTGAAAGATTTTGTTCTTGTACTTTCTTTTATTTATTTATTTTTTAGAAACGTCGACTGAATGCTGTTCAAGAACTCTTGAGAATAGTGCGTCCAGGTGGGAAAGTTTTGATCCAGGTTTGGGCAATGGAACAAGAGAAAAATAAGCAGCAGTCAAAGTACCTGAAGAAAAATCTTTGTGCGAGTAATCACATTTGGAAAAATTCAGAAACAAATGGCAGTACATCATTGAACACACAAGTAAAAGACAAAGATATATCAGAATTATCTGACATCATGAAACAAACAGAAATATCGGCACCATTGGCAGGGAATCCATTATCAAGTGGAACTATAAATGGACCTTTCTCTAAATGTCTTGAGGTAACCAGTGATTGTACAAGTAACAATCATGAGGTTATTAATCCTCCAAGACTTGCTGTGCATGTCAATCGAACAACTTTTAAGCAGCAGGATCTACTTGTTCCCTGGACAAAGAAGAAGAAAAGGATACAAGCTAAGGATGAAGAATCAGCTGTTCTACATCGCTTTTATCATGTCTTCCAAGAGGGTGAACTCGAAGAACTTTGTGCTACTCTCAGCTGTGCTGATATTTCACACTCTTACTATGATGAGGGCAATTGGTGTGTTGTCCTCACTAAAAAAGAACAGGAATGATTAAAATGTTTATTGTAAAAAGGACAGTTTTATAATGTTTTCAAATGAACAATAATTGAAATTATCTCCCCTGCTCTCTCTCTCTCTCTCTCTCTATATATATATATATATACACACACACATACACACACACATATATATATAAATTAAAACACATATAATATAGATTTTATAAGAATAATAAATTTGTATACACACATTATATACACACACACACACACATATATGTATAAGAGGAGGTACTGAAAATTTCTTGGCCCAATCAATAAACCCTTCCAAAAAGAAATCTGGTGTTTGGTCAGATATAGAGAAATATAATGGCTGAGAACTTTTTCGGCATCCTTTGTGTGTGCGTGTGTGTATATATATGAGACATGATGGAGTAATGGTTAGCAGCTTAGATTGAGTGATCGGAGAGCCAAGTTTGAATTGCAGTCAAATCCATTACATTCACAGGTGTTAATACCCTTGGGAAAGGTATGAATCCTCTTCTTCTCCCTCCAGCTATGGGTAAATAGCAGGATAGATTGGGTTCTATAGCCTTGAATGGCAACTGGTCTAAGAGAAGGACAACTCTGAATTCAAAACTTGCGGAGGATCGTTTGGGGACATTATGGCACGTATTGCAACAGGTCTTTGTGTTCAGCCATTCAAAAAGTGTGGATGGTTCTGCACAAAACCTTCACTACTATAATCAAATCTCATCTGCTGGTGTTGGGCTGTTGGTTCCTAGGAACTGATTCTCATATGTTCAAATTCAACAGGAGAGTCAATTATATATATATATATATATATATATATATATATACATAAAGATAACAATATATATTTTTATATATCAAGAACAGTATTGGGGAAATTGTATGACAAAATGGAAAAAGTTTACTTTTGATGCTTTTCATCCTTCAGGACTTCATTTGTTATGTTGGTAGGACTACACATGAACTCAGTATAGGGGTTCTGGGAAATTTAAAATTTTTTTTTTTTTTTATAGACGAATTCATTTTGAGTCTTTTTCTTACCATCGCTTTTGTAAGTAGTTATTCCACACTGTGCAATTAGAATATCTGCCAGGAATGGTAAAATGTTGTAAGAGCCAGGGCATAAATTTAGTGTAGATGACCTGTGTTATTTTTATGACAATTATTAATGACAATGGGGTAAACTCCTACTTCAGGATTTAGCCTATTGTTTTCTTTAGTATTGACTCGGTCTTTTATTGTTTAAAATGTAATAGTAACAACTTTTATGTTGATTTTAGATAGATTCTTTTTGATTGTAGATGTGATAGAATTAGTAGATAATGTATCTTTTTGATTCATTGGGTTTCTCAAGAGGGAGCGTTTTTTTTGTTTGGGAATATTTTATGGGCCTTTTGTTTTGCATTGAATATAAAATAATTAGGATACTGGAGAAGTTTGAAAGTGTTTTCAATGTCTTTCTCTTCTTTGTGTAAATAATCTGAGCTGCATATTCTTAGTGCTCTTAGGCAGAATCCAATAATTATGCTTAATTTTATTTTGTTGTTATGATGGGAATAGAAATTTATTAGGTTGTTTTTGTTGGTTGAAAAGGAAAGACTCTAAATGAATTCAGCTAGGTAAAAAAAAAAAAAAAAAATCAAAAATTCCCACCACCTGTCATGCACATGTGTAGTCCTGAAGATGAAACATTTCACAAGTAAACCTTTTCCACCTTATCATATATATATATATATATATATATATATATATATATATATATATATAATGGAATTATATAAAAATTTATATGTATCTGTGTACATATATCCATATACATTTATGTGTATATATATATGTGTGTGTGTGCATGAAATTATATGCAATTATATCAAAGAAGTATCTAAAGATATAAAGTATTGCACATATATATATATATATATATATATATATATATATATATATATATATATACACTACACTGACGCACACTCTATCATTTCACAAATTGTGTCAGTGTAAAATAATATTTTAAAAGTGTTCCTCTATTTGAAGGAATTGGATACTTTATAGGGATTTTTTATGGTTAGTTTTTAATTACAGTCTCATCAAATGCAGAAATGGAAGAAAATGCCTTTATACATTTGAGTGTTTTATCTATTCTTATTCACTGCCCAATATTCACCCCCAATAAAGTCAATTGATTGTTAATAATTCTTTAATATATTTACAAGATAATAAAAGTTGAAAAAATTTGTAAACTTCTTATATGTGCCAGATATTTACTCAGTCTAGATTGGCACAAGGCCAAATTACTGTTGAGGAAGATAAAGATGAGCCAGTCTACCAAGTGGAGAAAGACCTACTTACTTTGAAAATCAATATTCACAATCCTTGCTTTTTACTTGGATTTGAATACCAACTATCAGTGAGAAATACCTAACTACCTCGGTCTCCAAGCAGGCCAATTCATACCATTTACATTCCTCAAGTGATTTGGTTTCTGTTATTTGCTACAATTCTTTGTTATTCTGTTGCTGCAATCCAAAAGGTTCAAAGTAGAATGGTCCTCACAAAAACCTACAGGCTTCATTTGCTCAAAGCCTTTTTTAATCATTGACCTGAGCAGTTGTATACAGCTGACAGTTTATATATTTCTGAATGTGTTTGGTGCCATGCATGGGATCTATATGAAAGTCTCGATCTGATGAGGCTATTTGGAAACATGGCTAGTTTTTAGGTTAAAGTTTTGGTTTTGTAGCATGTTGTGGTGCTGGGAAAAACTATCCCTAGCTCACCCTATTCTATGTCCAATTTTCTTATCTCCTAATCAAAGATTAAAAATGTTTGTTATACAATTTGTCTAGTTTTGCAGAGACATTTGCAGTCATCAAATAATAATTGACAAATTACTGTAAAATGAAAAGAGGATTTTTCTTTAGTGTCTTTACACTTTATCTTTTTATACAGAGATAGGGCACCAAATATGGAATCAATTTTCTATATCTTTTCAATTTGGCATTAGACTGAGTTTTCTACTAATGTCAAGTGAATCAGTCAAAGAGTTTTCTACTAATGTCAAGTGAATCAGTCAATTTTGTATGCTCATAAATCCTGTCCAAATTTATCCATTCCATTTCAATATTTTAACCCTTTGTCCAAAATTATATATTATTGATATGGTAATTTCTTGAATATAACTTTTTATTATTATTTTTTGAAAATTTAAACTGCATTTTATCTGTTTAAATAACTATAATCTTTGAAATATCAATATTGCATTTGTAAATTTCTATCTGTATCCAAATATCATATCATATGTTTTGTAAATTTCTGTATGTTATCAAATATCATGTTACAATCACCTGTTATTTAATACTTTAATCACATGATAATTGTTTTTTTTTTCAAATATACTGCTGAATGGCTTTTTCTTGATATTTAATCTTCACAACATTGAACAGCTGAAAAAGTATGCAATGTTTAATAGATAATAATAATTATATACTCAAATCCACATTATTTAATATTACACTTTCTTGTGCATGTGTTTTTGATTGGAGGCAATGATAAAATGAAGGTATATTGCATAACTGTGATCTCACTATAAAATAATATATTCATTACCACTATTTGTTCTCATGTGTGCAGCCAAATAACTGCAGTAGGGATTTTAATAACAAGTCTTACTTTATTGCATGAATTATTTGAATCCATATCCTCATTTGTTTTTGTTTTATCATTAGGTTTTTCTCATCAAGTGTGGTAATTTTTGGGTTTGAAGGAAAATTTTGAGGTTTGCCTTCACTCTTAAGAATTTCAAGTGTAACATGAATTTTTATTGCTAGGATTTGTGACTAATTCTTAATTGAAGTAGTTGTTAAAAATAATAAAAATACAAATTGTGCATAAGGAATTCTGTTAGAAGCCACTTGAAGATGACTAAGGTTGCCTGATTGAGCTATAATTATAAAATTTGGTTACTTTTTCAAATTAAACTTTGAAATGTCTTTCTTCTAATAAGAAACTCGACCCAGTTTATTTTAAAAGTAGGCCCAAAGGTAGGGAAATTCAAAATTTTGTAGTGATGGGCTTTCAAATGTCTGTCAGCCTTGACCAGATACAACAATACAGACTTTGCTGGAAAGAACTGCTCCTGGAACAAAGTGATCAAAACAATAAAGATGAGGATACCTGCTTGAATAATTTATAAAATAATGACAATAATTCATCTCAGAAATTTAGAAGACTTATTTTGTCTAAGTAATTCACATTAAAAATAAAATATTTTGTTTTTATTCTTCTTAGATTTTGACTAATTTTTCTTTTCATTTCATTCCTGTTTGTATTTTTTTAATGAAATACAAAACCCAAGAGCCACTCAAGGTAGAGGATTACTAAATGAGGATATTGTATAGATATAGGAGGGGGAAGCATCCTTTTGGCAAGAAGCAGTTTGAATAGAACTTCTTCCTTACCAAAGAGAATGAGTTCTTAGCT